TTGGTTTTTTTTTTTTTTTTTTTTTTTTCCTTTTTTTTTTTTTTTTTAAATTCTTCTTGTTATTATTATTTTTAACCTCCTTCCCTAAACCCAACCAGAACCTTTCCTTCTCCCCCTCCTCTCCCTCCCTCCCTCCCACCCCCCGAATAAACAGACAGAAACTTTCTCGTAATGAAAGAAAGAGGTGTTGGAGAGGGTGGGCAGGGGAGGCAGGGGCTCTTGCATGCTTTCTCCTGCACTCGTAATTGATTTGTGTTTGTTTTGATTTTGCTGATGGAGGTTTATTGGAAGTGGATTTTTAGTTTCACGCTGCTTAGGAGCGAGATGATGATTCTGACGTGTGGTTACTTTTCCTTCGTGCTTCCTCCTGCATGTTCAGCCTTCCCCCCCGTGCCCCGGGCAGCTCCGGGTGTGTGTCTGTGTGTGCCTCTGAGCCTGTGTGTACACTCACACGGCGCCTCGCAAGATGCAGACGCACGTATATATATATATATATATACATACGTACATACATATATATATATCCTCCAGCACCCTGCCTTAGATTGCAATTTTACACAGGCGGTTCAAATTACTATTACAATGGGGCTCACCCTGCCGAGGCTCCACAGCACTCCACTGTGGATTCCCAGCCGGATTTTTCCTCTTTTAAAAATATATATACATACACATATCAGCGCGCACGCCTGCGTCTGTGTGTGTGTATATATATATATATGTTGCCGTGTGCCTGCCTTTCCTTGTTGTTATTATCTCACTTTTCTCTTCTTCCTCTCATTTTCTTGTTCCTCCGGGAGAGGCAGGAGGGGGTAGAAGGGACGGGCTAGGGGGGAAGGAGCAGCCCAAAAGTAAGTGTGGGGTGCTCGGGTCTCTGCAAGTCGAGTCTTTGTGATATAAAATTAGACGAGAAATGTGAGCCTGCAGTTTTCCAGTGCGTGCTCTGTGTCTGGACGCTGCTATGTAGGTTAAGGGTTAGGGGGCTTGGGACTTGCTGGGCTCCTCTCTTTGTGTTTCTGCAAGAGTAACTAACCTCGTAATACGTGCGATAACAAATATAAATCACGCACATTTTTAGGCGTTCTCCCTTTTTGCTGTCTCTCTGCCTCTGAGCCCTTTTTCTCTCCCCTTTTTCTCTCGCTGTCACCGTGTAAATTTATTAACAAAATGAAAGGCCCACTTTCCATGGGCAGCTGAGGAAGGTGCCTTTGGATAATGCCCCCAGCCTCGCCGGGGGACCTGCCGGGGATGTTGTGGGGTGATCTCGCCTCCTTTGATATTTTTTTTTTGGAGGGGGGAGGGAGGGGTGGGGGGTAGTGTTGTGTGTCTATGATAACAGCAGCAACAATATATTCAGTGGGCGAGAAACGCGTGTGGGACCAGCGCCGGGGATTTTGAACTGAAGTGTTTCTTCCCTCTCGCCCCCTCCCTCCCCATCCCGCTCCCCCAGCCCCAAACCAGTAAGCTGTTTTAGGTGTAACGAAGAAAAATACCCGGGCACACAAAGACGTATCCTGCATCTCTTGAAGGAGGGGTGGCGGTGGAGGGATGGAGGGGGGTGGAAATAACTGAATGGTGGTGTGTTTGGGGAAGTGAGGCTCTCGGGCTCCTGCAGGCAGCCCTGGCCGAGCGGACAGCATTGCTCAGCTTTTATTGTTGCTTTTGACTTGACCCGGGAAGTGCGGAGCCCTAAAACGGGGTAGGGGCTGAACTCTGGCTGGCAAAATGCATGCTCCCCCCTAGGCGGACTTGGTGCGGGGTCACACACGCACGCAGGAGCAACACAAAGCAGGCTGTATTTGGAACGATGGTCGCAATTCAGATATTAATAGCTGTAGTTTCTTCTTTATTTACTGCAGCGGTCCAGAGGGGCAGAATGCCACCCACACAGCCAACCCATGGTCAGTTCGCCTTGACAAACGGGGACCCTCTCAACTGCCATTCCTACCTATCCGGATATATCTCCCTTCTTCTGAGAGCAGAGCCCTACCCCACCTCCCGCTTTGGCAGTCAGTGCATGCAACCCAACAACATCATGGGCATCGAGAACATTTGTGAACTGGCAGCTAGGATGCTCTTCAGCGCGGTGGAGTGGGCCAGGAATATCCCCTTCTTCCCAGACCTCCAGATCACAGACCAGGTGGCCCTCCTGAGGCTGACCTGGAGCGAGTTGTTTGTCCTCAACGCTGCCCAGTGCTCCATGCCCCTCCACGTAGCTCCTCTCCTGGCAGCTGCTGGCCTCCACGCTTCGCCAATGTCTGCTGACCGAGTGGTCGCCTTTATGGACCACATACGAATCTTCCAAGAGCAAGTAGAAAAACTGAAAGCATTGCATGTCGACTCTGCAGAATATAGCTGTTTAAAGGCCATAGTCCTCTTCACCTCAGGTAGGCAGCATTTCTTTGCTCTTCCTTTTTCCTTCCCCGGGCCCCCCTC